GCCACAGCCGGGGCTTATTCCTTCCTTGCCTCACCGAGGGCAGACCCTGCCAGGCGCTCGTTGACACTGGTTCGACCATTACCCTTCTGTAGCCTGGTGTCCTGCCGGGCACCGAGGCAGCTGGACCCCCAGGGCGCTCACCGTGCACTTTGGGGCTGTGAGGGTGAAACACTCTACCAGTCCAACCCCAGGATACAGTCCTCACGGACTGGGGCAAGGTAGAAGGGGTGTTTCACCCTCGCAGCCCCAAACTGCACGGTGAGCGCCCTGGAGGTCCGGTTGCCTTGGTGCCCGGCAGGACACCAGACGGCAGCTGGGTGATGGTCAAACCGGTGTCGACGAGGGCCTGGCAGGGTTCGCCCTCGATGAGGCAGGGAAGAAATAAGCCCCAACTGTGGCCAACCCTGGCTTTCCGGAGCGTGGGTAGCGTCACTCAAGGACAGCCTTCCCCCCTTTAGGCCGCCCCGCTCCCATTTCCCAGCGGCCTCCGGAGTCCCCGGGGCTCCAGCGCCCGGCACTCCTGGGCGATGTGTCCCCTCCCCCCACAGCGGTTGCAGATGACCCGCCGTCGTCGCTCCCCCAGCATCTCCGCTCTGGCCGTCTCCTCCTCCCCATCTGATTCCCTATGTGCCCCTCCGTTGGTGCCCACCGGTCTCCTCGAATACAGCATCAGCCTGCTCAGCCAGAGCCAGGGCCTGCTCCAAGAGGACCGGCGCCACCAGCATCACGTGGCGCTGCACCTCAGTTGGCGCCAGGGCCCAGAGGAATGTCTAGAGCGCTATCTCCTGGTGGGCCTCCTCCGGGAGAGTAGGGTAACCCTGGTGAGCTAAGTAGGCCACGTCTGTGGCAACCGGACCCAGTGGCCCTCCCGCTAGGCAGCAGCGAACGACCAACGCCAACGCCACGTAGTTGTACTGCTGGTCCCCGGGTACATCCAGCAATGCCTAGCAGGCCTTCCCCTCCAGGACCGCGGCGAGGTGGCCCGCCATCTCCACCTGAGACCAGCCGTTTGGCCAGGCCACCATCTGGAACTGGGCCTCAAACATCTGCCATGGGACCTCCCCATTATAACGGCTCGGCCTCACTGGTGCAGGCTGATGCAGGGGTGGCTGGCTGGACTCCGCTGGTCTGGCGTCTCCTTCCTGCCACACGGCCTGAGGCGACCCGGGAAAGGGCCCCCTTCCGCTGAGTAGGTCACCGTGGGGTAGCCCTGATAAGGGCTGTGGCCATTGGCGGTGCTGAGGGGTCGTCCCGGTGCCTGGGGGCTGCTGCTCGCCTTCAAAAGGCGCTTTAGGGGGTCACTCGGCTGCTGGGGAAACCGGCGCTTCTCTGAGACCGACATCATCGGCCGTTCACTGTCCATCCTCCCGCTTCTGACACTAATGTAATGAATTTGGGTTCGTTGAGGACGAACACAGAGACTCAAACTTGTGGAGTTAAAAACTGCGCTTCATTTCTTCTCCGTCACCACCCGCCAGCAGACACTCCCGCGCCCAGACGAGAGAGAGACACAAGACGAGCCCTCCAAGAGCGTGGGCCCGAAAGACCGAGACCGAGACCGAGGGGTGTGGAACCAGGAAACTAGTTACATGGAAAACAGGCGATCTCCCCAGACTGTACGCCCATTTCACTGTTACCTGGATACCTCTTGGGGGATATCCTTTTGGGGGATATTCTAACAACAAGTGATTAAAAACGATCTATCAAAGTGCAATGAAATACAATATGCTGCACAGCATGCTTCTCAAAGCGCTTTACAGGATAACAACAATAACAACAACAATTTTACAAGTCCTGGGAGGAAGAATATCATCAATATTAAAAATATTAATAAACTTTATTTTATATAGCGCCTTTAAAGGTGGCTTTTTTAAATAAAAAACTTTTTTAAATACATTTGCATTTGCACACAGAGCAGTGTCTACTTGAACATGGAGATGCCATGCTGAATAATTCCTGCACACAACCATTGCAGCAGAATTTGCATCATTTGGCAGGGCTATGATTCATACAAGTGGTGGTGGATTTGAGGACAAAATGTATTCACTGTATGTTGGTGTGCCACACACATCCAAAGTCAATTTTTATTTCAAAAAGCATTCCGTTTCCAGGAATCTGTTGAACATTTTGAATCTTTTTCTCAGTAAAGATTAGTTGATTAGTAATGTGTTTTAAGGAACGAACATTCTGTAGAGCACATCTATGACATTTCTATCACATTAAAAAAGTATTGATGTGACGTTCATCAGGTTCAGTGATTGTTCTTATTGTATCATTTCACTTATTGTAGGGCTGTAATATTACTGATAGACTGTAAATTAGAGTCCATAAAGCTGTTGAGGGGTTTTGGTGAAACCAAACCATAACGTATGGTTATATGTAGGAAAGTAATTTCAATAATTTTCTTTTTAATTTCTTAATATATTACAAATAAGTTATTTCAAAAGCTTGTTGAAGCATTGAATAAATAAAGTCTGTCTTTATTTATTTACAGACACAAAATTCATGTGTCACACCAGACTGGACATTTTTCTCCATCATTCCATACCTGTGCTGAAATCTACTACATTTCTGAAACAAAATGCACTCAGGTTTTTAGTGTAAAAAGAAGAGAAACACAGCTATTATTGCATATTGTAAATTTCTTTTTGAAGAAATGAAGTTGAGAGTTTTTTAGGTGCTTAATCAGTGTTCTTGGTCACAGGCTGTTGTCCAGGTCCGCAGTGATTCCCCCCGTTGTAATCTGTGGGGGGGTTTGACTCGGGATTGCTCTTCCCACCAGGCCCAGACTGTCTTCTCACTACCTCAGAGTAGGCCAGGTGGGCTTCGGTCCTCTTGTGTTTAAAGACTTGACAGGTGTTGGGTCCGCTTGTCTGTTTCTGCATGTTTTTAGCTCTACATTTTCCTCCTTGTGTGCGTGCAAATGCTGCACTAGAGCTCCGTTCAGCTCGTCTGAGTTTCTGTGGAGCACTGTCAGTGTCTGACTGTCTTTTTGTTTGTTCGCTGTCTGTGTGGGTGGAGGAGCGTGTCTGGGGGCAGGGTGTAATCCTTTCAGGGCAGGTGGACCATCTCTTCACTTGTCTGTCCCTCATCTGACTGTTCCAGAAAACTAAAGTCCAATAGAAACCATGGGGGCCCAACTTTGTGTCTGAACTTTGCGTCTGCCCCCGAGTTGAGAATGGTTGTGGAGGTCCACACCCCTGCCTGGTACTAGATGTGAACTCTCTCTTGTTTCTGAATGTGATTGTGTTCCTGTTCATTGATATTCCCTCATGAGCTGATCCATTGGAGTGGCTTTCTGAGGAGGAAGACATGTGCTCTGTGTTACACCTGTTCCTCATGCCAGGCCGCGGACCTGACTGTGAGATCTGAGGCTGGACCTGTCGGGCCCCAGTGTGGATGCCGATTGTCTGTATGAGGGGCTCAGGTGACACTTTCTCCTCCTTGACAGTCTGGGTTGTCTGTCTTCTCCTTTCTCCCTCTGTCTTGGCACGGTAATCGAACTGCATCTCCTTGGAGTTATTTTGCGTTGTCTCTGCTGGGGGAGGTTCATCCCCTTCTGCATCCAAATTTTTATTTTTCTTTCTGCCCCTGATTCTTTTCCTCCTACGGTGCTTAATGGGCTCAGGGGAAGGAGGAAAAGTTCATCACAACCGTGTTTTAGCCGGACTCCTGCTGTGTTGCATTATCAGGCGTTAGTTCCGTCAGAGATTCTGGAGGGTCTGAGTTCTCCTTTGCTGGCACAGTGAGGTTTGGCATCTCTTGTTCCTGTTCCTTAGTTGGTGAAAGTTCTTGGTCATTGTTTCTGTCTTTCTCCTGTTGCTGGATCTTATTTGTGTTATACACTCCACCAGAGGCGGGCTTAATTTCTGAGGCTCGGCAGTGACTCAGCCAAGCTGGGCTGTTGGCAGCAGAGTCTCTTTTGTCCCCCTGTGTTGTTTCAGGAGTCCTCTTGACCCAGGCTCCTCCTGCCCTCCTGTTTCTGTTCTGTTTCAGGCTTTTGGTGGCTTTTGCCCTTCCTCTCCTTTCTTCTCTTTCTCTCCTCCTCCTCTCAGGCTTGCTCCTCTGTCTGATGTCATGTAGCAGATCAGCCTTCTTGTTTGTTTTTCTCTGACAGTCCCATGTTGTACATTGAGAAGGGGAACACTACAGACAGCTCAGTGTGTTTCCCATTGCAGCTCCATGTTCAGACTGAGAAATAGATTAATACATCTGTCGTCTTCAAGACTCTTTGAGTGACATCATCGGCACCATGGTAACACGGTCTTCTACAGGGTCTTTTATGATGTCACACGCTTAGAAATCTTGATGAAACATTTAATGGAGAGATTGTAATGATTTTGTTAAACTTTCCCTTATGCCTTATTTTAGTTTTTCCCCCTTTTCCTTAATGTAAACACATTTCTGTGCATTTTAGAATATGTGTATGTTTCTTTAGTTGTGGTATTATATTTTGTCCAGTAGTTTGGTATTGTGGAGATGGAGCTATTATTTAGCAATAAATCTGACAGTGCTGTAATTCTGACTGTAAATAGGAAGCCTTTGATTCCTGAAAACTCTGAAATAATTATAATTGCTTACACTTATATAGCGCTTTTCTGGACACTCCACTCAAAGAGCTTCACAGGTAATGGGGACTCCCCTCCAACACCATCAATATACCACCACCAGATATACATAAATATGCCTTTGGTGACTTTTTGTAATTTATATACAGTACTTTAGATCTTAGTATTTGTGGTACTGCTCTCGCCCAGTTCTCCTCTTCCCTCACTTCATACACACACCAGGTCTCCTGGAAAGACATCTCCTTACTCTCTCTCCACTGGAGTCCCTTAGGCCTCTGTCCTTGGCTCCCTACTGTTTTCTCTCTGCTCTTCTCTAATGTCAGTGTGCCACACACATCCAGAATGCATTTATATTTCAAAAAGTGTTCTGTTTCCAGGAATCTGCTGAACCTTTTTCTCAGTAAAGTGGCTGATTTATTTTTCTCCCTACAGGGGGCGCAAACTCTTCTGCTTTTCACCCAGCCCGAGAGCGTCAGTCTTCAGGCAGTTTGTTCTTGGACGGGTAAGCCAGCGGCTTCATCACGATGTATGATGTCTGAGTCCATTCAGATTATTAAATTGAGTTGTTTTAGTTTGTTTGCAAGTTTGTTTCCTTTCAGACTCAACTGGTGTCAGCATGTAGGATCCAAGGGATTGTAAAGGATGAACTCCCTTTATTATCTAACCACTTCATGAACATTGAATGAGGGAAAATGCTGAGAGTTTTACACCTTGTGTGTTTTCTGTTTTAAATTCAGGTTGATTAGTAATATGTTTTAAGGAAGGAACATTCCCTAGAGCACATCTATGAAATTTCTAACTCATTAAAAAAGTATTGTTGTAACGTTCATGAGGTTCAGTGATTGTTCTTACTCTATCATTTCACTTGTTGTAAGGTTGTGATGTTACTAATTCACTGTAGAGTCCAAAAACCTGTTGGGGTCTTGGTGAAATGTATGTTCATAACGTTCATAACATATGGGTATACGTAAGAAAGTAATTTATAATTTGCTTAGTATATTATAAAGAACTTAACAGAGAGAATTGTTTGTCCTAGAAGAGTGAAAGTCAATTAGGAAACATAGCATGAGGTACAGATCCAGCCATTCAAAATGAACGAGGTATGCTGTGTTATAACACGGTGTGCCTGGAACAATATACTGCATCATACTGCATGTTTTTCTGGAAAAGGATAATAGTATCCAGAGCACCTTGTAAAACCGTCCCATGTACAGCATTTGAGCTGTCGCCAGAAAACGCTCGGTTTCGAATCCCAGTCACTGCTGAAGGACAATCTTTTTTCAATTAAGAATTTAAGTAGTTTAGTTTTTAGTCTTTTAGTATTTTTTAACTGTGTATTACAGCATGTTAATCATTAAACATTTAAAAGGTGGTATATTTTATAAAAGCAAGATTGTTCTGTTGGACAAAAGTACACAAGCTTCCACCTTCATCATAAATAATTTAATTATGCATAAATCTTTTTTAAAAGTCTTGGTAACTTACATTGGGTTCTGGTTTTAATGTGCTTGTTCTAATATTATTAAGCTTATATTCCGTACTTCACAAAAAATTATAAAATGTTATCCTTTAGGAAGAATAGGTAGCAAGAACACCACTTGCTGTAATAATAATTTCTTACACTTATATAGCGCTTTTCTGGGCACTCCACTCAAAGCATTTTACAAGTAATGGGGACTCTCTTCCACCTCCACCCCCAATGTGCAGCCCCCACCTGGATGATGCGATGGCAGCCATAGTGCGCCAGAACACTCACCACACATCAGCTATCAGTGGGGAGGAGAGCAGAGAAATAAAGCCAATTCATATATGGGGATTATTATGAGGCCATGATTGGTAAGGGCCAATGGGAAATTTGGGCAGGACACTGGGGCTACACCTCTACTCTTTTCAAGAAACGCCCTGGGATTTTTAATGACCACAGAGAGTCAGGACCTCGGTTTTACGTCTCATCCAAAGGACGGCACCTGTTTACAGTATAGTGTCCTGGTCACTATACTGGGGTAATAGGGACAACATGGTGAGCACCCCTTGCTGGGCCCACTAACACCTCTTCCAGCAGCAACCTTGCAGCCATAATTGTTATGTTACGTCCCAGTCTGTGATCTCTGTGTGTTTTTTTTATGTTCCATACTGCTGACCCTTGATTGTTCTCCCTTCCCCATTGGCCCACTATTACACCACACTTTCTGTATGACATCATGATCAATTAGCTTATCAGTTAATCAGAGTGCATCTTATTCAGCATATAACATGGAGGTTTTCAGGAAGAAGAGGCCTTTCGTTTGACTTCGGTCCTGTTTGGTTTTGGTTATCGCTTCGCTTTTGGTTATTGCTTCTGCTTTGTTGTTTTGTTGGTTTTCTGTTAGTTTCTTAGTACTTTCGTTTGTTTGTGTGTTTATCCTTGTTTCCATTACCTTGCCCTAACGTGTTACATGTTCAACCTTTGTGTTCTTTTGTACTCTGTTCCTGTTGCTTACTCTCGTTTTCCCTTATTTGTATTCCTGGTTCACTTGCGTTTTTGTGTGAACTTTTGTGTATAAGGTTAGTTTAGCTTGTTGGGTACACACTTAGCTGACTTTGTATTAGTAACACTAGTCTAGTACGGGTGAGTGCCGTTTGTCTTGTATGGTTTGGGTAGTCAGGGGAGGTTAGTTAGGGTGTTGAAGACGCCAAAGACCGTGTGTTTTGGGCTTTCTTTTGTAGTCAGATTAGCTTTCCCTCACTGTCCTAGCCAGCTCCATTTTGTTTGTTATTTTCTTTTCTTTGGCACCACTCTAGTTTCTTACCCTTGTTATCATGCTTCCTAGTCCCTCACCAGAATCCCCCTGCTTCCAAAAGAATTATCCTAAATGTTACACCCCTTTACCCCTAGACACTTGGGGTCGTAACATATTCCTTAACCAACAAACAAAACAACTGCCTAACTGGCTTTGGAACATCCTGTTGTGACAAAAGTTTATAATAACAGAGATTACTACTTTTTGCAGGTAGTATTTTCTTTCAGAAATGATTTTTGTCTGCCCTACATTGTATGTTTTGCATGATTCTCTTTTGTAAAATCTGCTTGTATTGTTTTCCTGCGAAAGCTAAGTGTTATAAAAGCCACATTCTAAAATGAATTTAGTCTGAAAGCTAAATGATTTGAAATCGGCTGAAAAAATACAATTAAGTCTTCACTGAGGGACGTTGCTGTAAAGAATGATGCATGGTATCCATTGTAGTACGGATGAACTTATAAGCCACAACCTTCTGAATTGGTGAAGTAAGATATTATTGTTGAAATAGTTATCACTGGCTGTACTGTGCTACGCATCATTGTCTGTGTCTACACAGCAAAATATTCCCACCTCCTGGTGAGCGCGCCAGGGCATCTCTCTCAGACGTCAGGGCAGTAACTTGTCTGTGGTAAGACGTGCAAATCAAGACGACAAATGATTTTTAAAAATGCCCTCATATGCTTAGTTCAAATACAGCAATAATTTCCTTCACCTAGTGTATCCTTATGCATTCATATTTTTCATTTTAGTGTAATATACCTTTCCCATTCAATACAACATACAGCTACAAATACAAACTGTGTAGCACTGAGCTTGAATGAAAGACAAGTTTTAAAGTAGAGACATCATTTTAAAAATAAAATATGCAAAGCAAATATGAAGATATGTAGTAAAAGTACTGTATTTCATTCCAGGGATGCCATGTAAAAATTTTACGATGCTCTCATTTAGAACATTGTATACATCTGTGGTCACCGCGATACAAAAATAGGTATCGCTGCTTTGGAATCAGACCAGAAGGGAGCAACCAGTACGTCCTTAAGTTCAAAGGAATGTCCTGTACAGAACTGAATCTTTTAAGTTTTGAACAGACTACAAGGGGGTTGTGGCAGGCCAGCAGTAATGAAAATAGTGATTTCAGATGACCTAC